AAGAAAAGACTGATGGGTTTATGGCTTCAAATGAAGAGGTGTCCAGCCCCGGCCTCAGTCTTACCTGGACTGGTTTGGATTAGTTGGCTAGAAAGAGAACCTACTGGCTAGAGGGGACATCCCCAGGCCTTTGTTTCAGACCAAGAAGACAAAAGCATGCCATCTTTATTTCGCCATCCTCAGTGACCCTGTTTGCTTATCAGGGATTTAGCCCCTTACTCCGTCACACTCAGTTCTTTTATGCTGCACTAGGAACTGAACGTAGGGCTTTGTGCATGCTAGGCAACCAGTCTACCAACCAAGCTCCATCCCCAGCTGATGTGTAATATATTTGCTATACAGTGCCAGCTAGATGAGGGATCAAGATCTGCTTAGGTGGCCCTGGCCAGCTTGCTGAAATCAGTGTAGGGCTTTCCATACTAAGATGGCCAGCATGACACTGACTTCCCTCTCTCCCTTCAACTGCACACACAGCTCGTTGCCTGGAGACCGGACACACTACTCTGCTTGCTCTTCCTTTCATTCTCCAGAAGCAGCTCTGGAAACTGTGGCCTCCAGGAAATATGCCTGGGGCCAGGGCAAAGGGGGCAGCAGGCTTGCCAGCTCTTCACAGGCCAGCCCCATCCCCACCGCCCTCCCTCTCCTCCCCACAATTGAAAAGCCCCAGCAAGCTGGAACCAAAGAGCTCCCACAGGGAACAAGGCCCCCTTTGAAAGCCTGAGTTTGTCCCAACCGCCTGCAGCCAGGGGTTGCCATGGCCACTGTGCACTCTTGCCAGCCAAGCCTAGGCAGGCCCAGAGTAGTAGAGCAGTCTGAGCCACCAGACACCACTGCTAAGAGGCCCAGCTGATTCCCAAACACACATGTCCTGAGTCCCCATGGCTGTTGGAAGTGGGTATTTGCGGAACCTCTAGGCTGAAAATCTAACATTGGAAGGAATAAAAGAGGATAGAGGGCCCTCCTGGAGAAGCCAAGCAGAAAGATCAGAGGCTTGGGCTGAGAACACTTGCCAGGGCCACACCGCCTCAGGAACTGCCCTGCCTCCTGGGCCGGTGCCTGGCTGGGCTGCTAATGGGAATGACTTATTTATGTAATTCATTATCACTGGGGCCTGGATCCAAGTGGGATGGGTGGAGGGGAGGCCTCAGCTGCCGAGGGAGGAAAGGGAGGGGCTCTCCTAGGCCTCAGCCTGGACCTGGCAGCCAGAGAGCTTCACTGGTGGAAATTGCAGGCACACAAGGACAAAGGCAGTGAGGAGAGAGGACAAGGCCCAGCACTGTGGGCTCTGTGGGGCTCCTGACAACAGGAGTGGCCTGAGACTGGCCATCTCTGTGCTATGCTCCCAGACAAGGCCGCAGAAGCAGAGGCCTCGAATAATTTTGCCCTCAAACTGCCCTGTGATCCAAAAGCTTCATTTATTATTATTATTATTATTATTATTATTATTATTATTATTAATTTTGGTCTTTTTGAGACAGGGTCTCCCTGTAGTCCCAGCTGTCCTGGAACTATGTAGACCAGGCTGGCCTTGAACTCACAGAGATCCACATGCCTCTGCCTCCCAAGTGCTAGAATTAAAGGCATGTGCCACCACATCTGGGTTATTTTTTAATTCTGGTTTCTGCAGCTTAAGGACAGACATACTCTCTTCCCCAACAGGAGGCCTAGCTGTAGAGGCAGCGTCCCTCAAGTACCCACCTCAGTACAGGAGGAGAAAGCCAAGGTAACTTCCAGAATTCTTCAGATTCATTCCTAAGGCCCATCACAGAGGCCCCAGCTGAGATCAGGGAAGCAGATGAGGTATGGGAGGATAAGTGGTCAGAGCTGGCTTCTCAGACCAGGGCTATGTTTCCACCTCAGCATCAACAGGCAGGACAGAGCTGAATGAATAGGAAGACTCTGGTCCCAGCCTCCATGAGGCCCAGTCCGCCTTTGCCGTGGTCTCTCCATTCCTCTGCTCCTCTTCTAGTTTCCCATCCTCTCAGGGGTTCTTTCTGCCTTTCCACCTCCCCCAAACAGACTGTATTCATTCCCATTCACATAAAGGACCAAAACATTTTATCACCATACCTGGCCACAGTCCCTGAAATTGACCTGGCCTTGGTTTTGGTTTCTGTTTTCATTCCCTTCCTTCCTGGCACACCCCAGAATAGGATATGTCATAGCCCAGGCTGGAACTCCAATATAGATGAGGGGAGATAGCCTTGAACTTCCTGATACTCCTGCCTCCTCCTCCCCAGTGTTATAATCACAGGTGTGGGGGTTTTATTTTGTGCTGGGGATCAGCAAGCCCAGGATTCTGTGTATGCTAGGAAGGCACTCTACCAACTAAGTAACATCTCCAGACCCTGTGGTTTTTGTTTCTAATAATATTATTAGCTAATGTTTTACTGAAATTCATTTCCTGTGATACTTACAATAACTATATGAGATGGGGGGGCATATTTGGCATTAGGAAATCTGCCCAGGTCACACAGCTAGCAAATGAGGAAAAAGGATTTAAACCTAGTCAAACTAGTCTTTAAAACAAAGCTACCTAATCCCCAGAGAGGTGAAGTGGTTTGCTTACAGGCACACAGCCAGTTGGAGCAGTGTGGAGACAAGGACCAAAGTGCTAAATCTGGGCCAACATCCTCTCCATGTCACACCATTTCAACCACAGAGGCATCTGTGTGACATAAGCAAGAGATACACATTTATGAGGTTATGCTCTTATAGCTTAAAAACCTGGCTAACCCCAAGCAATGGCCTGGCTGGCCCTGGTCACTCCCCTTCATCCTGTTCCATGACCTTCAAACAACTCCCTTACCTCACCCAAGACTTTCCAGTTCTATCTTACAGTGTTATAAACCCACCCATATCCTTTTAGGGTAGTACAGTCTCCAAGATTCCCTTGAGGTCTCACCCACTAAACCAGCCTCACATTTAAGCAGTCCCTTACAGTTCTCAACTATCCAACCAATCCTACAGCCCTCAGACCCAGGTAAGAATATACACTTCTGAGGTATATTCCCAGCTCATATCCCTACTGTGAAGATACCTCTACCCCTATTCACAAGAGAAAGCCCCCATGGCCATGGTGGCACCATATGACCATGTCTCCTAGTCACAGTTGATTGGATCAGCAGAAGGTGACCCACATGAACAAATCAGATTCTCCCTCCAAGAATTTATTTGATTCAAGGTTGCTCAAAGAGGGTGGGTATATTTGAGAGCCAAGGGACTACGACACCAAACACACATGCACAAAAGCAGGGGCATCCAGCTGGTGCACCAAGCAGAAAGGCCAAGAGCAACTGCCTTCAGTTCAGGCACCTGGAAACTCGCTGTGTCTCCTACTCAATTTCTCAATTCTCCCAAAGCTTCAGGTATCTCAGGCTAGTCTGCTTTGTGGAGTTTGAACTGAGATGTACTAGTCCTGTACACATAAGGAAAGAGATTCCAGGGATGCATGAGTAAATGAATGTCACATGACCAACATAGCATTATGGAGTGGTTAAAAGTTCTCCTGTGTGACTCTCCTTTAATGCCATCTCATATTCCTTTCTGGAGCTAAACAAGTAGCAAGTGTTCCTTTTCTGTCTAAGTAAAAACAGTGACTAGGCAAGTGATTCAGTCAGAGGCATTTCAAGGGACTAAGACCAGGGACAGGAATGTAAAGTCTGTCCTTTGGAGAGGAAGCTCATGCTGCCTGACCAGCTCTGGCCAGTGAAATGAGAATGGAAGTAATGGGCTTGACATGGTGGTGCATGCCTGTAATCCCAGATTCCAGAGGCTGAAGCAGGGTCAAGAGTTCCAGAACAGTCTGGGCTCCATAGCAAGGCTCTGCCTCAGAAACAAAACAAGGGCAAGTAGGATGGCTCAGTGGGTAAAAATGCTAAGGCATGTATACACAATAAATAAATATTTCGAGCTGGGTGTGGTGGCGCACGCCTTTAGTCCCAACACTAGGGAGGCAGAGGCAAGCGGATCTCCGTGAGTTCAAGGCCAGCCTGGTCTCCATAGTGAATCCAGATCAGCTGTGGCTACAGGAAGACCCTGTCTCAAAAAGACCAAAAATAAATAAATATTTACACAATTTTTGAGACAGTTCTCACTATGTAGCCCTGGCTGGCCTGGAACTCACTATGTAGACCAGGCTGGCCTCAAACCACAGAGATCTGCCTGCTTCTGTCTCCCAAGCTTGCAGCACCATGCCTGGTTAAAATTTTTCTTTAATTAAAAAAAAAATCACTAAAGAATGGAAGTAATTGATGTTAGCCCCTTGCTAAGGCAATTCAAATCCAAGTAAACCAACACCTCTCTCTACCCCTCCTACCATCACCTTGAAGGCTCCAGATTGCAGATGGAGTGGCCACAGGTAGAGACTACCTCAGTCACATCAGATGTTCCATGTGCAAAAGCATACTTCCATTGTGTCAAGCTACTGAGTATCAGGGTTTGAACAGTCCTGTGGTGTAGTCTGAGGCATGAAGTGTTCAGTCTGAGCCCTCTGGCATATTTCTCTGGTCAGCAGGATGTTACATTCATCTGCATCATATATGCCTGCCTAAGTACTGGAGTAATGCCAGGCACTGCACTGGGAACAGCCAAGGCCACAGTAGTTAAACAAACATGCCAACAGCTACCTTGAAGAAGCTCCCCATCTGATGACCCATGAGCCTTGCTTAGGACTAAAAGAAACAGTTCTCTAGGTGCAAAGGCCAAGCTTCCACTGTGCCCCTAGCTAAGGAGAGCCTCAGACAAGCTAAGCACCAGGAGGCAGAGAGTGTCCCAGTGAGAGACTCCAGGAGGCTGGCAGTAGACAGAGTTCACACCAGGCTTTTACACCCTGGGCTCCGCCTACTCCCCTCCACCAGTCCCAAGGCTGTAGCCACAGACAAGTGCCTCCCTTATTCTGGGCACAGAAAGAAGGGGAAAACATCAGGGAGTAGGTGTCCTGGAGAGAGAAGGAAGCAGAGAGAAGCAGGAGCAGCAAGACACAGCTCATCTGTCCCTACCTTCCTCTGTAGCAGAAGCAATTTCCTCTAGAATCATCTGGCTTAATAATTAAGTGGAAAGGTCCCCAGCTTCTGAACTTGTCTCGCTGAAACCCACAGGGCTGAGCACTGACCATAGCAATCATCACTCTGTCAGGTGCCTGGCTGTCGTTCCCTCTTGTTATGCCAAAAGCTGGATGAAAGGAGAGACACTTAGGCAAGGTTGTCATATACAGTTACGCAGGCTGTTCATAGCACAAAGTGCCCATCCAGAGGAGCAAATGATTGGAATCTAGCCCACCATCTGTTTACCAGGCTGTGAACCCTAGAGGACACCTTCTGATTGAACCAAAGGTGTCTGTAGGGTTTCCCCACAACAAAGAGTAGATTTGGTGGTGGGTATATGGGAATTCACTGTATTAACTCTCTACTCTTGTATATGTTAGACATTTATCATGATAAAAATTTAAACCAAGGGACTAAGGATGTGGCTCAGTCGGTAGACTGTATACCCAAAGCCCTGGGTGCCATCCCCCAGCACTGCAAAAACCAGGCATGGTGGCACACCCCAATAATCCCAAAGATTCTTGACAGGGGACACTGTCAGAAGTTCAAGGTCACCCTTGGCTAGTGAGTTTGAGGCCAGCCTGGGCTACTTAAGACTGATTCACAAAGCCTAATTAATTAGTTAATTAAAATATTAAGGGGTTGGAGAGATGGCTCAGTGGTTAAAAACACTGATGGCTCTTGCAGAGGATCTGGGTTTGGTTCCCAGCACCCACCTAGCTTCTAACAATCATCTGTAACTCCAGTTCCAGGGGATTTGACTCCCTCTTCTGGCCTTCTTGGGCATTTCATAACACAGGTGCACTTACACACATGCAGGCTTATATACATAAAATAAATACATTTTAAAAATTGTTTAAATTAAATATTAAAACAAAAACTAAAAATTTCAAGTGGGAATGTTACTTATTCAAATTATTGTCCTCGTCGGGCATGGTGGCACACGCCTTTAATCCCAGCACTTGGGAGGCAGAGGCAGATGGATCTCCCTAAGTTCAAGGCCAGCCTAGTCTACAAAGTGAGTTCTAGGCCAGCTGGGGCTACAGGGAAACCCTGTCTCAAAAAGACCAAAAAAACAAAAACAAAAACAAATTATTGTCCTCTTAGCCTCAGTCCCCATATCAAAAAAGCCAACAATCCCTAGCATACAGACTAAATTAATTATATAAGCAAAATGTTTGACCCAAAGCAATTTACCTTCCAAATGGGAGCTATTAACAGTAGCCACTGCTGCTGTTTGGGGACAGGAAGGAAACAGAGGCAAATGGGAACAGATGAACACTGTCAAGAAAAGCAAGCATGTTGGGAATGTGCGACCAGAAACTCGAGTCTGAAAGTGGGCCCAGCCAACTGATGTTCCTAAACATCTGGGAGTTCTCATGGCACCCCTGATTCTCCTCCTGGACACCCTTCACATTCCCCTGAGGATCTGGGCTCAGAGTCTAAGGTAACACAGGTCACGAGTCCACAGAAAGGTCACCCAGAGTGGCTCAGTACAGGATGTGCTCCTCAGCCTTCCACAGGCAGATTGTAGACTGGGGAGGTGGGGGGGACGACACATGGAAGGCTGGCAGCTGGATTTCTACAGAGAACGAGATGTCCCCACAGTTGTCCCAAGGAATCAGGCAATACAGAGGGCTTGCTGCCTTCATAAGCAGGGGGTGAGTTGCCATTTACAACCCAGAAGGCCAAAAACTATTTTTCTATTGTGTAGTTTTATGGAATGATTTTTTTTTTCCTAGTACAGAGGATTGAGCCTTGGGCCTTGCACATGCCAGACAAGTGTTCTATCAGGCTTGCCTCAAAGTCACAAAGATCCACCTGCCTCTGCCTCCCAAGTGCTGGGACTACAGGCATGTGCCACCACAACCGGCATCAGTCCTTTATTTTTAATGACACACTCTAAGGCCTAAGACCCAGAACCCCACCAGGATGTAGAGGCCCAAGGGGGGTAGCAGTAGAAATCTGAGAGCCTTCCAAAGCCCTGGAGGGATCTCAACCTCAGCAGGAGCCACCAACACCTTGGTGCTAGTCTAAATGACCCACACAGAAAGCTCCTGTCAAATGCCATGTCACTGAGCCCCTTTTTTTCCAGGATGAAAAGTAACAAGTTGATTCATTCCCTCATTAAATCAACTCATGAGAAAAGGGAAGTCATCCCTGTCCCCAACCCTCTGTCTACCTGATACAAGCCACCATGTTCATCCCCTACACGTACTGACCATTCCCCCTTCACCTTTCCTTCTTTGCCTCAAGAATTCACTGTCCCTGGCAGTTTGTTAAATTCCTACAGCAGCTGCAGCGGGGCTGAGTATTGGTTTAAAGATAGGTTTCCAAATACAAAGGGATAGGAGGGGAAAGAGACATGTGACTCTTAAATCTTTGGGCATGCAACCTCTCTCAGTAGATAGAATAAATCCACCCAAAAACAGTCGTCAATCCCTGCCTAATTGCCTCAACCCTGTCCCAAGCTTAGAAACAGCTATTCCCTAGAACTCAAAAAAAAACCTCTCGTATGCCCTGTCTCCTCATTCTTTCCAGCACTGGGATCTATCTGTACACTTAATCTGCTTCCAGGTTCAGTTTATCCCTCCCTCAGTCTGTCAAAGAATCCCAGCACTGCTATGTTATGAGGTAGGTACCCTGTGCACACCCAGCAGCCAGTTTTTAAAATTCAGATCCTACCTCCTAGACTACGTAGGGCTGTGACCTTGGACAGGTTAACTTCACCTCCCATGCTTCCATCTCCTCTACTATCTTATCTCCTGGGGCTTAGCTGGGGAGATGGCTCAGCAGGTAAAAGCCTTATAGCCTGAGTCGGAGCCCTAGAACCTACACACAAAAAAATCAGATCCCATGCACCCATCTGTAATCTCAGTACTCTGACTTATAGATGGGACACATTGGCAGAAAGAAAAGACCCTGCAAAAAAATAAAAACCAGCAACTGGAGAGATGGCTCAGTGGTTAAGAGCACCAACTGCTCTTGCAGAGGACCCAGGTTCAAGTCCCAGCACCCACATGGCGGCTACAAACTGTCCTTACCTCCAGTTCCAGGGGAATCCAACGCCCTCTCCTGACCTTTGCAGCATTGCACAACACAGGTGCACTCACATACATGCAGGCAATACACTCATACACATAAAATAAAAATAATAAATAAATAAAAAACTAAACAAAACAAAAAGGTAGGAGAGAGCCAACTCCGAGAAAAGTTGTCCTCTGACCTCCATACACTGGTATACACACACACACACACACACACACACACACAGTCTTTAAAAAATATTAATAAGCTGGGTGTGGTGGCACACGCCTTTAATCCCAGCACTCAGGAGACAAAGGCAGGGTGAGCTCTGTGAGTTCAAGGCCAGCCTGGTCTACATAGTGAGTTCCAGGACAGCTGGAGCTACAGAGAGACCCTGTCTCAAAAAGACCATATATATATATATTAATAGTAACACTATCTCCGCTAGGGTTGGATAAATACATTAATACTCCCATATACTTAAAGAGCTTTATGGCATGCAGTAAACATTCAATAAATGTGAGCTCTTACCACTGGACTGTCATGACAATCCTGTGAAGGATCATTAGTTCCAGTTCTATTTTGCAGTATGTTCTTATAGCCATCTGCTTTTGGGAGGAAAATAGTAGATTAGAGCTGAACTGGGTAACACAGGCCTGAAATTCTAGCTGTTCATGAGGCTGAGGAAGGAAGATCTCAAATTCAAGGCCAGCCTGGGCAACTGACTGAGACACCATCTCAAAAAATAAAAAGAAGATTGGGAATACTGCTTAGTAGTAGAGCCTAACATCCCTAATACTAAAAAAAAGAAAATTAGCTTAAAGAAAGGTAAAAATCAGAGGAATATGGTGGTATATGACAATAATTCCAGCACTTGGGAAGCAGAGGCAAGAGGATCATACGACTTTAATACTGGCCAAAGAAGAAGAAGGGGGGGGAGATGAAGGAAGGAAGGAGGGAAGGAAGGAAGGAAGGAGGGAGGGAGGGAGGGGATACTCTTCTGACTTCTGAGGGCACCCATACACATGTGGGATACACACACACACGCGCGCGTAAATAAAAAGGAAGGAAGGAGGGAGGGAGGGAAGGAAGGAAGGAAGGAAGGAAGGAAGGAAGGAAGGAAGGAAGGAAGGAAGGAAGGAAGGAAGGAAGGAAGGAAGAGAAGAAAAGTATAAATGGGGCTGGGCATGGTAGCTCATGCCTGTAATCTCAGCACTCAGGAGGTTAAGGCAGGAAGATCACAAGTTCAAGGCCAGCCTGGTCTACCTAGCAAGCTCTAGGTCAGCTAGGCCTACATAGAAAGACCTTGTCTCCAGGGTTGGAGAAATGGCTCAGCAGTTAAGAGCATTGAGGAAGGAAGAGAAGAAAAGTATAAATGGGGCTGGGCATGGTAGCTCATGCCTGTAATCTCAGCACTCAGGAGGTTAAGGCAGGAAGATCACAAGTTCAAGGCCAGCCTGGTCTACCTAGCAAGCTCTAGGTCAGCTAGGCCTACATAGAAAGACCTTGTCTCCAGGGTTGGAGAAATGGCTCAGCAGTTAAGAGCATTGGTTGCTCTTGCAGAGGACCCTGGTTTGGTTCCCAGCACCCACATGGCAGCTAACAACTATCCATAACTCCAGTTCTGGGGATACGACATCCTCTTCTGACCTTCTCGGACACTGCACACACATGGTGCATTTACATACATGCAGGCAATATACTCATACACAT